AAGAACTGCTAGTGCTATTTCCAAGGATTAAAAACAGAAAAAAAAAAAAAGCAACAAGAGCCCAAAGATGGGAACTGGGGTGGATTTTTTTGGAGCAGGAAGCACAGCTGCTGTTGCACAGGTTTGGTTTGCATTGTACTGACTGATCTCAGAGCTCTGAAATGCTCAAACCCACCTTCATCTTTACTTGAAATACTTTATTTGCCATGAGGAACATGGGCTGAATTCTGGGTTTTTCCTGCCTTGTGGTGGTTTGGGGTGGAGGAAACTTTGGCTCCACCTGCCAGCGGTGATGGGAGCTCCGACAGCACCAGGTTTTCAGGTTTACCTCCTGCTCACAGTCGGATAATGCACATTTTACTTCCAAAAATGGCAAATCTCTGTATTTTTTATATCATAGAGAGGGAGATATTTGTCTAATTGGGCCACAGAGCAAACTATATATGAAATTTCTGTAATTCCTATAAATAAGCACTGTGAGGCAGGCACACCTGGAAACCCCCCGGGCTCAGGGGTGTTCCTGCTGCTCCTCCTGGTCCTTCCCGTGCCCTGGGGGTGAACACGGAGCTCCCTCGGCGCCTTTTTGAGTGACTTTGCCACTATTTCAGTAAAACCAGAGGAGCAAATACCGAGTTCGGGGGCGCGGGGGGCGAGCTGAGCCCTTGTTGTGGAATGAATAAACTCCACCTGTGCAGGTGCCCGGCTGTGCTGTCATAAGCGTGCTCGGGGCTGGGGCTGGGGCCGGGGGTGGCTCGGTGACCTTGGGAGGAGTCCCCGGTACCCGGTAACGGCGGATTCGCGCGCGGGGCATGCTGGGAGTTGTAGTTTCTAGTGCGGCCGTGCGCAGGGTGTGCTGGGAGATGTAGGCCACAATTTTCCCTTCCCCTCCTCATCTGCATTTCCCCGCCTCCAGAGGAGTAGGGTGGGAATTGTTGTCCCCCAGGCGCCAGGCATGCCGGGAGTTGTAGGCCACAGTTTCCCTTCTTTCCTCTTCTTCTTCCCTAACCCCGGGACGTGGCGGTAGTTGTATGAGTCAGTTTCCTTCCCCCTTCTCTTCTCCTTCCAGGCCTACAGAGCATGCCGGGAGCTATAGTTCTTATGGTCACCCCCGCGCTGAGCATGCTGGGAACTGTAGTTCGGGTGGCCTTTCTTTCGCGGGGCACGCCGGGAGTTGTAGTTCCCCTCAGCACCTCCCGCCGCGGTTGCCGCGTCTCCCCGGTGCTTCCCGGCAGCCCCCGCGCGGCGGGCGCTGATTGGGCGGCGGCGCGGGCGGGCGCACGCGCGGCCGTTGGAGGCCCCGGGCCGAGCCGCTCCCTCAGCGCCGGTACCGCCGGAACCGCCACAACCGCCGCCACACCGGCACCGGCCGGGCACCGGCACCCACCGCCCCCGCCGATGCGCCGGGCCCTGCGCGCCCGTTGGCTGAGCAGCGAGGCGACACCTGCGTCAGACCGCCGGCGCTGACGTCACGGGGTGCGCGCGTGACGTCACCGCGGTGTGGGGAGGGGGACAGCGCGGGGCTGCTTTAACGGGGGGGTCACCGGGGGGTGACGGCGGAGGCTGCACCGGGGGCTGGGCCGCGCCCGGGGCGATAACGGGGCTGGGGGGGGCCGGTTCCCGGTGTAACGGGGACACCGCGGGCCGTGCTGACCCGGGGAGCGGGGCTGGACGGGCCGGGAATGCCGGTGCCGAGGGAGCGATGGGCCGGGCTGCTGCGGGGCCGGTTCTCGCCCTCGAGCCCCGTTATCACCCCCGAGCTCCAGTTATCGCTCCCGAATCCCGGTTATCATCGCCCGAACCCCGGTTCCCTTCCCCTAGCCCCGGTTATCACCCCCCGAGCCCCGGTTCTCGCCGGGAGCCGCGCGGTTGCAGCCGCAGCAGCGGAAAAGCAGCGCCGGAGGCGCGGGGCCGGTGCCGGTCCCGGGGATCCCGTCCCGCGCGTGGGTGCTGACACGGGCCGGGCGCTTCCCTCGCTCTTCCCTCGGGTTTTCCTTCCCGGAGCCCCGGTGGGATGTGAGAACAGCTCATTCCTCCCCTCCAGACCAGCAATCAGCACCCCCGGGTCCTAATCAGAGTCATAGCCAGAGGCTGAGAACATCCAGAGCCCTCGGAGGCAGAGGGAGTGAGGATGGGGAGCTGGGATTTGGGGATTTGCAGAGGGAGTGAGGATGGGGAGCTGGGATTTGGGGATTTCAGGCTCTCCTTAGCCAGGGAATTCAGTAGGAATTGATCTCTGTGCTGTGCAGGCTCTGATTTCTGGGCCAGATTTGAAATCCCAAGAGTTGAGAAGGGCAGGAAGGCCTGAGGGGGTTGTGCCCAGTGGGAAAATTTTTTCTGTGAATTGGAAGGTGCTGCCTTGCTCCAGGAGGGGATTCCAGTGGGAATTATCCCGACACAAACTGGGAGTCAAGAGATGCTTTCCCCAGCACAGAGCTTGTGCTGAGAACAGGCTCCTTCCTTCCCGAGCCAGGCTGATCCCAGAAATCCTCTGGATGTCCTTAAACCTCTCCCTTTCTGTTCCTGCAGCGTGAGAGGGTGGAAAGGCTGTGATGAAGAACCAGGGAGTGGAGAGCAAAGCAGCTCCACGTCCTTCCAGAACGAGCAGCGGGATGGGGCTGGAAGAGGGAGACTCACCAGAGGCTGCAGCTCCCCCAGAAGGTGGGGGGACCCCTGGGGACGTTCTGTGGGCAGTGCTGGCATTCCCTGGAATGTGTGAGGGTGGGAAGAGACAGGGGGTTGCTTTTTCTGTATGAGGCTGGGCTGCTGTATCCAGAAAATTCTGCTTTTCCAGGGCAGAAAATCCTGGGTTTTTTCTCCCTTTTTTTCTGTGTGTGTGCAGTCCTAGAGGAGTTCCCCTTTCCTGGCTGCTGCCAGGATGTTCTGCCTGCTCCATCCCTGTTTGATCCCAGAGATCCAGCTGCTCTTACCCATGTTTAAAATCCATTGTCATGCTAAAAAACCCAGCCCTGGAGCTGCCAGTTCCTCTGAGGAGGGGAAAAAAAAAAAAATCTCACACACAACCTGCTTTCCTTAAAAAAAAAAAAAAAAGAGGGAAGAGAGGGGAATTTTCCTCCTGACAGATGTCAGAGGCTTGGTCATGCTCTGCTGATCAAAGGCTGTTGGGAATGCCCCGCCATTGTCAGGGCAGGGAACAAAGCAGCTTATCCTGCTGCAAGTCCAGGCAGGAAAAAAAAAAAACCTCCAGCAGCCTGAAGAAAAGAGAGGGGAACCCCAATTCTTTTTTTTGTGTGTGTGTTCCCATTTTTTCCCTCCCCACCACAGCTCCCCAGGAGGATCCCAAACCCTCCCGGCCCTCGGTGCGCGACGTCTCGGAGGAGCTGAGCCGGCAGCTGGAGGACATCCTCAACACCTACTGTGTGGATGCCAGCCAGGACAACCAGGGCGAGGAAGGAGGGCAGGGAGAGCCCCCTGAGCCCGAGGAACCCGAAAAGGGCCGGAGTGAATCCCCCAGGAACGGGGAGCAGGAGCCAGGAGCCCCCGAGATGAACGGGGAGAAGGAGAACGCCAAAGGAAACGAGGAATTCCGGCCTGGAGAGGAGGGTGGAGAGAGGGATCAGAAGAAAGCTCAGGAGAAGAAGAAAGCCAAGGGTTTAGGTGAGGGGTTTTGTGTCTTCCCCCCACTCCTGGGGTTTAGGGATGGGATTCCCTGCTCTTCAGAGGTTTAGGTGAAGGATTCTGTGTCCCCCGAGGATTTAGGGAAGGGATTCCATGTCTCCCATGGATTTAGGTGAAGGATTCCCTGCTCCCCAAGGGTTTAGGTGAGGGGTTTTGTGTCCTCCAGGGGTTTAGGTTAGGAATTCTGTGTCCCCCAAGGGTTTAGGGAAGGGATTCTGTGCCCCCCAAATGTTTAGGTGAGGGATTCTGTGTTCCCCAAGGATTTAGGGAAGGGATTCTGTATCCCCCAAGGGTTTAGGGAAAGGATTCTGTGTCCCCCAAGATTTTAGGTGAAGGATTCCCTGCTCCCCAAGGATTTAGGGAAGGATTCTCTGCTTCAGCTGTGCCTGAGGCTATCAGTGCATGGATAAATGGATTTTATCCCACACTAATCATCCTCAGGAAAATCAGAGCCTCGAATGTGTTTGGGAGCATTCTCCTGTTCTGTGGGGGTGAGGAATGCACCCAGTGCAGCCTCTGAATTCCATGGGCACAGCTGGCTCCAGCCAGCCCAGGGATGGTTTTCCCCTCCAAAATCCAGCTGTTCTTCCAGCATGGTGAAATCCTGGGAATTCTCAGTCCCTCCTTTTTTTTTTTCACGTTTCCAAATCAGAACTCTGTGTCAAGCCATTTTATCCCATTTATTGCATTATTCCCACTGCACGTCTCATTCCAGGCAAGGAAATCACTTTGCTGATGCAGACCCTGAACACCCTGAGCACGTCAGAGGAGAAATTGGCAGCACTGTGCAAGAAATACGCTGAGCTGGTGAGTCCTGGGGCTGGGGGAGGATGAGAGGCCTTGGACAGGGACATTCCAGGGACACTCTGGGGCTCCCTGGTGTCCTGGGATCTCTGGGCAGGAGAGGGTGGGTGTTGCTGGGTCCAGCCTGGTGGTGTTTGTGAAGGAATTTTGACGAATCTGGGTGCAAGAGGAGCTCAGATCTGTTTTCACACACACACACAAAGCCTGATCCCACGTTTAACCAGAGCCAAGGTGGAGTTGTGAGCATGGATCTGGATCTGGAGGAGGTTTGGGGTTGCCTTTGCATGTCCAAAGTGTCCGGGGGTGGTTTTTCCCTGTGCTGAGGGGAACAAGGAGCTCTTTCCTCCATGGAATTCCAGCAGGATGGGAATTGAGGAAGGAGAAAGGTCCTTGGGCTCTGTGTCACTGCTGTGTGCTCAGAATTGTCACACGGGGCACAGCCAGCTCGTGTCCCCTCAGTGGGGCACAGCTCTGCCCTGCTGCCCCCACACCCTGTGGTGTCCCCACACCCCGTATTGCTGTCCCCACACCCCATATTGCTGTCCCCACACCCCATATTGCTGTCCCCACACCCCATATTGCTGTCCCCACACCTTTGCTGCCCTCTCCCAGCTGGAGGAGCACCGGAACTCTCAGAAGCAGATGAAGATCCTGCAGAAGAAGCAGAGCCAGCTGGTGCAGGAGAAGGATCACCTGCAGAGCGAGCACAGCAAGGCCATCCTGGCCAGGAGCAAACTGGAGAGTCTGTGCCGGGAGCTGCAGAGGCACAACCGCACCCTCAAGGTGAATTTCTGCTCCTCCCCGAGCTCTTGGGTCCCTCCCCATGAGCTCTCCATGAGCCATTTGGGCAAATTCACCTTTGCCAGTGGTTGCCCTCACTCTGCCATCAGGGCAGTGCTGTAATTTTGGTGTTGAGCCATGGTCACCTGCAGTATCCCAGTTGTTATTCCAGGCTCCCAGTAGCCTGGCCAGTGTTCATAGCAGTGGTCAGAATTGGTAGTTAAAAATTTGCAGGAAAATTTAATTGTGAAGCTTCACACCCTCACTAATCCCCCGAGCACAGGATGCCTCCACAGAATGCAGTTTAGCCCATGTGATGCTGTTTGAAATTGCAGAAAGAGAAAACAGAATAGTCTTCAGAATTATCTTCTGTCAAATTAATCATGGATTGTTGGTTCAGAGATACCAAATGTCAAAGATTTTTTTTTTTTTTCCATTTTGTATGTACAAGCATTTCTGTAAAAGCTGATATATCTCTGAGGAGAACAGAGAATTTTTGAAGGAAGGGAAGGGGGAAAGCTCAGAGCACTTTCCCGATGGATATGAGGAATAACAGGATGGGTTTGGAACATCATTTTGGGAAGTTTTCTCCTTACCCTGGTGCAGGAGGAGGGTGTCCAGCGTGCCAGGGAGGAGGAGGAGAAGAGGAAGGAGGTGACCTCACACTTCCAGGTGACTCTGAACGACATCCAGCTGCAGATGGAGCAGCACAACGAGAGGAATTCCAAACTGCGCCAGGAGAACATGGAGCTGGCAGAGAGGCTCAAGAAGCTCATTGAGCAGTACGAGCTGAGGGAGGAGGTGGGTGAGGACAGGGCCAGGCTGCTCCTGCTGCCCCAGGGGAGGGGGAAGCTCTGGATCCTCCCTGAGCTGTGCTGTTCCCCCCACAGCACATTGACAAGGTGTTCAAGCACAAGGAGCTGCAGCAGCAGCTGGTGGATGCCAAACTGCAGCAGGCCCAGGAGATGCTGAAGGAGGCAGAGGAGAGGCACCAGCGGGAGAAGGACTTTGTAAGTCTTGGAGCAGTTGATTGGGGCGTTTTTTTGCCTCTTCTTGTGGATCCCTGGGTGTTATCCCAGGTCTTGGCAAGTCCAGTGGCTGCTTCAGGAGCCCTGCCGTGCCTCTCTCGTGCTGAGCATCCCCAGGTAACTGCTCTGCTCTTCCCCAGCTGCTGAAGGAAGCTGTGGAGTCACAGAGGATGTGTGAGCTGATGAAGCAGCAGGAGACCCACCTCAAGCAGCAGGTGAGCCCCCTGCTCTGTGTGCTCAGCCCCCTTTGTTTGGGGGTTTCCCTCCCTCCCTGAACCACCCAAATTTCCTTCATCTGGCCAGCAGAAGGGCAGGATCCCTCCTGGCTTTGGTTTTGGTGAGCTGAGGCTTTGCTCAGGGATTGTTTCCCAGCAGTCATGGGATCAGCCAGGAGGTGTTTGTAGAACACTCTGCTCTGAGGAACTTTCCCTGGGACAGAATTCTTTGGCAGAGCAGCTCCTGCTGTTTGTCGGTGTCCCAGGGCAGCAGCTCAGCCCTTGGCTGGCCTCTCCCCTCTGCCATGAGCTCCCTGTCTCTCCCCACAGCTGGCTCTGTACACAGAGAAGTTTGAGGAATTCCAGAACACCCTTTCCAAAAGCAGTGAAGTGTTCACAACGTTTAAACAGGAGATGGAGAAGGTGGGTGACGCTTTTTCCTTCGTGCTGCTGGGAGCTGGAAGAGCCCCAGCTCCATAATTCCAGTTAATTTCGGGTGTACACCCAAAACTTGGGGTGACACGTGAGGACAGGTGGGATGTCCCTGCAATGTTCTCCGTGGGTTTGTTCGTTTTGGGGTGTCCTGAGCAGGGCCAGGAGTTGGACTTTGATCCCTGTGGGTCCCTCCCAACTCAGGACGTTTTGTGAGTGGATTTGTGCCTTTCCTGTGGTTCTGTAGATGACCAAGAAAATCAAGAAGCTGGAGAAGGAGACCACCATGTACCGTTCCCGCTGGGAGAGCAGCAACAAGGCCCTCCTGGAAATGGCAGAAGAGGTGAGGGGAGGCTCTGGAGCAGCTGGGGAGGGGTGGGATGGGGACAGGACAGCTCCTGCCTTGGTGCTCTGTGGGGGCAAAGGGAGAAAGAAGCTCCTTGGTGATTTGGGTGCTGAAGGTTTGCTTGGTCACGGGGATTTTCCCCTCAGGTTTCCCTAGAATCAGTCATGGAATGGTTTGAGTTGGAAGGGACCTTAAAGTTCATCCAGTTCCACCCCCTTCCCTGGGCAGGGACATCTTCCATTATCCCAAATTTCTTCAAGCTTGGCCTTGGACATTTACAGGGATCCAGGAGCAGCCACAGCTTCTCCCCCTGACTGGGAGGAATTTCATCCCAATATCCCAGCGAACCCTGCCCTCCCTCCATTTAAAACCATCCCCCCCGTCCTGCCGCTCTCCCCTGATATCCCTCTGGGGTTTCACCTCTCCCTCTGTGCCTCTCTGCTGCAGAAAACCCTCCGGGACAAGGAGCTGGAGGGGCTGCAGGTGAAGATCCAGCGCCTGGAGAAGCTTTGCCGGGCGCTGCAGACGGAGCGCAACGACCTCAACAAGAAAGTGCAGGACCTGTGTGCCCACACGGACCTGGTGGAGCCTCTGAAGGAGCCATCCCGGGACAGCTCCGAGGCAGCTCCTCAGGATTCCCTGAGCTCGGGAAAGGCCCTGCAGAGCCCGGATCCCGCGGGAATGGCGGCAGAACTGAGCACGGCAGGGGCGGGGCAGAGCGGGACTGAGGAGGGCACGGAGTGAGCCCAGGGCAGGGCACGGAGCTGGGCTGAGGGAGGGTGACCTGGGAGCTGCTTTTAGATTCCACTCTGCCTGTCCTGGCACAGGTGGGAAAAGACAGGACACAGCCCTCCTGGGGATGTGAGATTTCCTAGTTTAGGTTTTTTGGAGGGTTTTTTTAAGATTTTATATATATATATATATATGAGATATATATATGAAAATGTGCAGGGCAACATTTTATGGATATCCATGAGAAGCAGAAGGGCCCAGCCAGCTCCCTGCCTGTGTGAATATTGAAAAGATGGAGCCTCAACTGCTCATCCCTCTCCCTAAAGGACCTTGTCCCTGGCAGGCTCAGGAGAGTCCCAGGGCACAGGGACAAGGGACGCTCCTCCACCATCACAACGACTCCACCCTGGACTGAAAGCAGAGCTGGGAGAATTCCAGAGCATTCCCAGCGCTGGCTTCTCCCTCTTCCCTCTGCCAGGCAGGAGGGAGCTCCTGGACTGGCTCTTGCTGGCAGCTCGTGGTGAGCTGAGGGCACAAGAGGCCGTTCCCCTCCTCTCCGTGGGTTCTGTGTCTGGACTGGGGACAAGGAGAAGCAGGAAAGGGGGTGCCTGGTCCCACCCCCGGGAATTTTTTTGCTCTTCCCAGGCCCTGCCAATGTCTCAAAACCGCCTTACGATTCACAGTTGCCTCTTTGCTGAACGCACACGTGCACAAAGTGTATTAAACATTTAATCCAAAGGTCTAATTCCCAAGTGTTTTTGCATCGTTGTGCACAGGGATTGGGGAGGTGCCCCCGAGCCCCTCTGCCCCAGCCCCGGAGGCATCCACGGAGCTGGGACTCCAGGAGGATCAAACCTCAGAGCTTTGTGTGTTCCACGAGCTGCTGCTCCAGCGGGATCGGCTCCCGGACTGCTCCTTCCTGCCTGGGCGTGCCTGTGCTCTCCCAGCCCCACTTGTGCTTTCCCTCTCTGCTTGGAAGAGATTTCCCCAGCGCTGCCTCACCCGGCGGGGCCTGGATGTGCTGGGAGGGAGTTTAGGGACAGAACGTGGGACCTGCTGGCACCGGGTTTTGGGATTTTCCTGAATTTCTCAAGACTTTGTCATTTCGCTGTTCTTTTGGAAGACTCGACTCGCTTCAAACCTCGCTGCAGCTTCTCTTTGTGACAGACTTTATTCCCAGCATTGCCTTCCTTGTGCTGGAAGCTGAAGCCGGCTGGCTGGAGACGTTCCCCGCCGTGGATGTATCCAGTGGATCCGTCTGGGATTCTCTTCTGGCCCCACAGCTGCTCTCACATCTCCCCTCCATGCAGGACCTGCCTCCGCGTCCCCTTTTCCTCCAGGGAATCCAGATCTAAGGAAGGCAGCAGGGCCGGGCTCTGAGGCTCCACAGAGCCGTGGCTGGACTTGCACTGGGACAATCCCTGGAGCTGTGGTGGCTTTGTCTTCCAGCCCCTCGCTGTCAGCGCGGTTCCTCCGGGATGATCCATGAATGTAGCCCCGGCCGGGTGGCACCGCCCCGTTCCCAGCAGCCGGGCTGAGCGAGGGCTGCTGCCGGGATCTGGACTTCATTAAAAGGAAAACCCCTTAGAAATTCACCAAACCTCCTTTTTTTTTTTTTTTTTTTTTTTTTTTCTCGTCTTTCCCCTCTTACGGTACAGAAACCCCCGCGGGGGCTGTCGTGTGTATCCTGTATCCAATAGAAACACTCCCAAACCTCGCTGCTGCATCTGCTGCCTCTCGTTCTTTATTTCCCAGGGCGGGAGTGAAGATTTTGGGCTGTGGGGCGGCCACATCAACTTCCCTGTGTCCCAGAGCTCCGCTCCTGCATTCCCAGTGGGAATGAGGTGGGGGAGGCTGGGAGGGACATTTTGCTGCAGTGGAGATGGGATGTCCCCGCTCAGGGGGGACATCGGGGTGTCCCCAGCACCTGGCTCAGCGTGGCTGTCCCTCCCTGCGCTGCTGCAGCCACCAAGAGCCACCAGCCCTGGCGGTCTGAATCCCCAGCCCCTCCCGGCTGCTCCCTTGTGCCCCCATCGGCTCCGAAATGTCCAAGATCGATTTTAAATCCTGCTGGGATTCACAGGAGCAGCCGCGCTCGGCCTGGAAGGGAGGGGGGGAGGTCGGGACTTGTTTAATCCCGTCCCTGCGCCAGGGCTGGAGGCCCTGCCCGGCTCCTTCCAGCACGGACGGATCCTGCGATCGCGGCACTGCGGGGACACCGGAGGGGACTCGGGGTAAAGCCCAGGGCCGGGGGGGCGGCAGGAAAAGACCCGGGATCCTGGGCCGGATTCCCGACCCTGCGGGATGCTGATCCCGGGGCTGATCCCGGGGCCAGGTCCGGGGATCCTGCGGGCAGCCGGTGTCCGGCAGAGCCTGGAGGAAGTTCCCTTTCCCTTTAAATGCAAATCCCAGGCTGTGCGGACGGTGTCCGGTAGGATCGGGGTGTCCATCGGGTCCCGGAGGCCGGAGCGGGTTTGGCACAGGTCAGTCCCGACCGTGGCGCTCCGGACAGCGGCCGGAGGCTGCGGACAAAAGGGGACAAAGAAAGGGGACAAAGGGGCTCCGCAGCCCCCGGAGCTGCCCCGTCCCGGCGGGGCCCGGGGCCCGGGGCTGCTCGGCGGGACAAAGGGGGGGTGACAAAGGGGCCGAGTTCCTGCGGGGATGCTCCGGGCGCGGGGAGAGCGGAGACCCCCCGGGAACGGGGATCCGAGCTCCTGCTCCGCTCCACCGCGCCCGGTGCGGCTCGTGAGTGCCTCTGTTTGTCCCCTCTTTTTTTCCAGGGGGTCACCGAGCCCTTCCGCTGTCCCCCTTTTGTCCCGGGGGTCCCGGTGTCCCTGTCTGTCCCCCCTTAATCCCAGGGATCCCCGGGCAGCCTCCTTCTCTCCCCTCGCCATCCTCTCCGTGCGGGGAAGGAGTCTCCCAGCGCCGTGTCCATCGCTCGCAGGGTGCCCGTCCCGCACCCCCCGCATCCCCCGCGTTGCGGCCATGGAGGAGCGGAGGAAGAAGCGGAGCCCGAAGCCGTGCCTGGCTCAGCCGCTGCCCTCCGGAGCCCCGCGGCCGCTGCCCCCGAGCAAGAGCACGTCCTTCGCGCTGCCGCTGCCCACGCTGCCCTCGCCCCGGCAGCGACCGCGGCCCCGCCGGTCAGTGGGACCCGGGGGGGACCCGGGGGGGAACCGGGGCACCCCGAAAGGAGCGGCCGGGGCGATGCCAACGCCGTGTTCCCCGCGCAGGACGAGCAAGGAGCGGGCGCGGGCGGGCGCGGGGGGGTCCCGGGGGGCCCCGCTCCAGCACAGCTTCCTCACGGATGTGTCCGACGTGTGCGAGATGGAGGGGGGGCTGCTCGGCCTCCTCAGCGACTTCCACTCGGGAAAGCTGCAGGCGTTCGGTGAGGAGTGGGGTGGGTCCGCTGGGAAGGAGGGATGGGATTTTGGATGGGATTTTGGGATGGGATTTTGGGATTTTGGGATGGGGAAGGACCAGGCTGGGGAATTTTGAGGCTGAGGAATTTTGGATCCAGGAGGAAGATGGAGAAAACGTTGGATCCATAAGGAAGGAATGGGCTGGGGGATGGATGGATCCTTTCCACGGGCACAGGGAAGCTGTGGGATGGGGGAATGTCCTGGATCCAAGGGGAGGAGTGGGCTGGGGGATGGATGGATGGATGGATGGATGGATGGATGGATGGATGGATGGATGGATGGATCCATAGAGAAGGAGGGATGGGCTGAGGGTTGGGATTGATCCATAGAGAAGGAACAGGCTGGGGGGTTTGATGGCTCCTTCCCCTGGATCCAGAGAAGGGGTGGGATGGAGGAATGTCCTGGATCTTTATCAGGACTGGGATCCATAGGGAAGGAATGGGCTGGGGCTGGGATGGATCTCTCCACGGAGCAGGGTGTGATGGAATATTCTGGATTTCTCCCCAGGGAAGGAATGCTCCTTCGAGCAGCTGGAGCACGTGCGGGAGATGCAGGAGAAGCTGGCACGGCTGCACTTCGGCCTCGACGTGTGCGTGGAGGAGCTGCCCGAGGAGCAGAAGAAGGCGGCGGCCGACAGGAACCTGGACCAGCTGCTGGCACACGTGAGTGTCACCCCTGTCCCCTGCCAGCGCTGGGACACCCCCAGGGTCCCCTCTGGACCCTCAGCCTCTGCCTTTGCTCCCACAGCTGGAAGAGCTCAGCAGTTCCATGTATCCTTGTCTGGTGACAGTGACAGTGGCAGGGGTGACAGTGACTGTGGTGACAGTGGCGATGATGATGGTGGCAGTGGCAGTGGTGACAGTGACTGTGGTGACAGTGGCGGTCATGATGGTGGCAGTGGTGGCAGTGACAGTGGCAATGGTGGCAGCGATGAAAGGTGGCAGTGATGGAGGTAGCAGTGGTGATAGTGATGACAGTGATGGCAGTGACAGCGATGGCAGCGATGATGGTGGCAGTGGCGACAGTGACAGTAGCGACAGCAGTAATGACAATGACACTGGTGACAGTGACGGTGCTGGCGCTTCCCCTTGACCCGCTCTCAGACAGAAGCTGCACCTGGCCGAGAGCTCGGACCCCGAGGACGCGGGGCCCTGACCCCGTCCCTGTCCCCGTCCCGCTCCCCGCCATCCCCGGGCGCCCCAACCAGGCCCGGCCGGGCCCCCCCCGCCATGGCGGCGGCGGTCGCGGCCCGATGACGTCAGCAGGCGGCGCCGCGGCCATGGCGGCCGCGCTGGGCCCGCGGGCCGGGGCTGAGGCCGAGGAGCGGCGGCGGCTCCTGCGCTCCGTGACCCGGCTGCAGGTACGGGACAGAGCCGGGGGAGAAACAGGGCTGGGGGACAGGGAAGGGAAGGGAAGGGAAGGGAAGGGAAGGGAAAGTGGATGAGGCCTGTAGGGGGCACATCTGGAAAGGGCCTTGAGGGCACATCTGGACGGGGCAGTCTGGACTGGGGATGCTCCAGGCCGGGCCGGGCCGCGCTCGGTGCCGGTGCCGGTTCCAGCGCTGCCCCCGGGCCGTGCCAGGCCTGTGCCAGGGGGTTCCTGCTGCGGAGGCGCCTCCGGGGCCTGCGGGAGGAGTTCGAGGCCGTGGTGCTGGAGATCGAGGGGGACCTGAGGCAGCTGCGCTGGACCGGCCGCGTTCTGCAGCGGCCGCGCTTCGATCCCGAGGTGCGTGAGCAACGGGGGGAGCGTTCCCGGGAATGGGGACCGGGGAGCGTTCCCGGGAATGGGGACTGGGGAACATTCCCAGGAATTGTAGCCCCTTAAAGGTGCCGAGTTTGTGCCCCTGCCCTGTCCTGACCCTGCCCAGGTGATTCCACTTTCCCTGGTCCCACCTGTCCTGGCCCTGGAAAATCTTTGTTATGGCTCAGAGCCACGTTCCAGACCTTTGTATTTTCTTTTATAGATTTTCTTTTGTGTATTTTAATATTTTCTGTGATATTTCTTTATGTTTTCTCTATATTTTTTCCTGTTAATCTTCATATTTTTTCATAATTTCTTTTAGACTTTCTTGATTTTTAAAATACTTTCTTCATATTTTTCCCCCCTCCCTGTATTGGTTTTTTTTCTGTTTTCCTTTGGGCAGCCCTCCCCAGGAAAGCCCTTGGATGCATGGGAGGCTGCAAAGGATGAGACCATTCCCAAAAAAACCCCGGAGAAGCCGGATCCCCCTGGAGCAGAACGGGCTGGGAACTTTGGGAACATCCCCTCCTCAGCCCCCCTGCCCAGTGGGACAACCCCAAAGCCCCCAAAACCCCCAAATTTGGGGTCTGGTGCTGATAAAAGCCTGGGAAAGGAGGGAAGAGCCCTGAGCCAGGAGTGGGACAACGACAGCGTGACCTCGGAATGGGACAGCAGCCACCTCGGAGCCAGCCCAGGTAAGGGACACAAAACCTCAGGAATATCTTGGCAAAGCTGGAACAGCTCTCCCACAATCCGGAATTTTTCGTTTTTCTCCCATTTTTTTGGCAGAAATCCCAGCGGACCTGCAGGGCCTTTCCCGCTCGGAGCTACAATCCCACAGGAGGCATCTCCTGATGGAGCTGCTGTGGATCCAACAGGCCATTGCCAGCAGGAAACACGTGAGGGCTGCTCCTGCCTCTTCCCAAACATCTCTGGGATGGGCTGCATTCCATTTCCCAGGGATTTGGGGTGGATGTGACAGGGATTCCATCACCACTGCTTGGTTTTCTCTCTCTCTCTCTCGCAGTTCCTGATGCTGAAACAGAAATTGGGAATTCCCAACCACTCTGGAATTCCTGAGTTCTTGGATTGGTTTGGAGAAGCTCTGGAGCAGCAGCACAAGTCCTGATGTGACAGTGGCATCCCTGGGATGTTTCTCACTCTAGAAAAACGTGGGAAGAAAATCCTTTTGTGGATATTTGATCCAAGCAGGATCAAACATCATCAGCCAGGGGGGTTGTGGTGTGTCCTGCAGGGATCCATCCCACGTGATCCCTGTTTTCCTTGGCTGATCCAAGTGGAAAAAGGATTTTCACTTCCAGCTGGTGCTTTTGGTGCTGGAATGGCCGAAGGCAGCAGGGACCTGCAGGAATGAGCCCTTCCCACAGAACTGTGTGGATTCCATGTGGGAATCCGTGTTTGGGATGGCTCTGCAATATCCAGGATCTCCACGTGGTGGATTTTTGGGAATACTGAAGTGCTGAGTGGGGAGGAGTTCCTGTGCAGGTGGGGAGGGAGGGATGAGGCTCATTCCTGCCTGATCCTTGGGATGAGGCTCATTCCTGCTTTTCCTCTGACTCTGGGAATTTTCTCCTGGGGCAGAGCCAGGAAAGGACCTGGTGCTTTGTCAATTCCTTCAGCTCAGGGACATTCCAGGTCCCTCAGAAAAGGGACTTCCCACGTGGTGCTGTGGTTCCCTGCCCTGACCCTTGTGTGGACACTGCAGATGTGGATCCTTCTGTTCTGGAATTATTTTTATTGTTTGGGAATAAAAAAAAAAAACCCAAAACAACAAAACTTTTCCTGATGCTGAAGCTGTTCCTGCCTGGCTTCCTGATTTCTCCTGGGCAGAGCCAGGTGGGTCCATGGCTGAGGTGTCCAGTGGGTTTGTCCAGGACAGGACAGGACCTTTAGGACTTCCCAAATGATGCCGGGGGGTGACAATGCTGATCCATAAATCCTGCTGGCTGCTCCTGTGCCGGGATCAAATCCTGGAGGATTAAAGAACCCTGTGGTTCCTGATGCTCTGAGGGTGTTGGATGTGGCCACAATTTCCTGCTGCTGGGTTTGCATCCATGGAAATTGGGCTGGGCTCAGCAGGGAGGGTTTGGGGTGCTCAGGTGGATTTGGGGTGCTCAGGTGGGTTTGGGGTGGCTGGAAGGGTTTGGTTTGGGCTTGGCAGAGGACTTTGGGCTCAGTGAGGGGCTGCTTGAAGGGTTTTGGGGTGGTCAGAAAGGTTTGGGGTAATCAAAAATCCATCAGTGCCAGGAAGTCACACTGGATAATTTATTAAAGCTGGATAATTTATTAACTATTTCTTATCCCTCCAGTACTAACAGGTCAGTTTAACCATTGTGGTCCCAAAACAGCCACCAAAAATCCCTTCAGGCACAGAACTGGCTGTCCTTGGGATGGGCCTGGTGCCACCCTGGCACTCAGGGAATGCCATCCATGGATTTTACCATCCCAAAACTGAGCCTGGAGCCCCCTCAGCCACGAGGGGAGGAGCCTTGGATCAGGTTCTGCTGCTCCTTCAGGCCCCAGCCACGCACAGGGAGATTCCCAGCATGGTGAGCAGCATTCCTGCCACAGCTCCTGGGGGAGAGAAAGGCAGAAAGTGGGAATTATCCTCAAAACAACAACCTCAGGTTTCTTTCCCAGCTCCTGGACTTTGAAACTTTCCAATTTCCTGTTTTTTCCTGCACCTGAGTAGGGTGGGTTGACATTTGGAGGCTTTGAGGCCACTCCTTTTCCATGGTGGGCATTTTATTCAGGGTTCAGTTATTCCAAAACCTTTTATTCAGTTAAATATCTCCTGAGAGAAAAGCTCAAGCCTATAAACTCTTAAAGCTTAAAACAGGCTTTAAATTTACCAGCCCAGGCCAAAAATCTGTTTCAATTCCCTTTTAGGTCCTGCAGCCAGAGCTGCTCTGACCCCAAAGCCTTGTGGGGTGTTTGGTGTGTTCAGAGCAGAGCCCCCACATTATAAATCAAATAAAATCATATCAATCAAATCAAAGCTGGTTTCTTGAGGAAATGCTGGAAGAGGGACTCACTTTTCCCACCAATGTCCTCTCCCAGGATTTTCCCAGTCACCAAGGTCACAATCAAAGCCAGGGAGTTGCAGAGTGGCACTGCCAGGGACAGGTCTGAAATACAAGTTCAAAATGGAGAAATTTGATTTATTTCTGATTATTCCAAAGGAGCTGTTTGGTGTTTGGCTCAGTCACCGACCCACAGCTCTGATCCTGCCAAAAATCCCATAAACCCACCCCCAAAAAAGCAGCAGGGACTGACCTGTGGAGGCCAAGGTGAGGTAGAAGAGGAGGGATCCAGCCTGGTTGAGCAGGAAGGGCACCAGGTACTGCAGGAAAACACAAATCTGGGTGAGGGTTCTTATAAATAACTTTGTAATCATTGGCTTTCCCTGTTACATATTAGATTTTGCATATTATTATTCATCATTTGATATAATGTATTTATCACACTACTATTTATATATGTTTCATGGTGCATACATAAACTGACAGATTCTATTATACCAACAAGCAGTTCAAAGGGAATTATAAAAATTGTACCATGCCAAAATATTCGTGATTAATAACAACATGCAAAAGCCAATAATTTGTTATTTATAACAGTCTTTATTTTAATATTATGCTAAGGCCTGTGTTATAATATATTTATCACATTACTATTTAAATATAAGTGATACAGTGCATATATAAACTGAGGGATTATACTATATAAAAATGCAGTTTAAAAAAATTAAAATTATCAATTGTGCCATACCAAAATGGTAAGGTATTAATTATTATTATGGGATTACAAAACGCGATGGTATTAATTACCGATTACCATGATGGTATTAATTTTTCGTGATTAACACCGCCATGCACAAGCCAGTGCACCGATCACTGACGGGTTATTTGGACACGGGCTCTCACCTTGCGGTTGAGGCTCAGGACTCGCAGCTCTGCCAGGAGCTGGCCCAGGCGGCCCCGGCCCGGCTGCTGCTCCGTGGTGGCCGCTGCCACCCTCAGGAAGGGGCCACTGGTGCCCCAGAGCGCGGCCACCAGCGCCACAGCCGCGCCCTGCCCTGCGGAACAGCGGTGAGATCATTGTTAAAATATCCGCGTCCTTATAATTCACAATACCGAGGTCTGAAGTGAAGCGCGAGCACGAGGTAAAGGAAATTATGTAATTAAATCATTGTGGTTTTAATCACCTTGTTGTGGATATTATGTTTTGCGGGTAAGTTGTATCTACTATCAGCTTGCAAAATTAGATTTCCCCATAGTCCGTCCTGCCTTTGTTTGATCAATGCTGCCTAAATACAAAAACCAGACTTCCAGATTTCGCTGGTGGTTATCTGTGAGCCTGACTATCACTGGAGACTCTGTGAATTTGTGTAAGGATGTTTATTCGATGTTTATTGCTCACCTGGCAAAATTATGACAGCAAAAAACCAAAAATTATTGATTATGAGAAACCACAGTATAAGAAAAGGCTGCAAACCAAGGTTCGGTGGAGCGGGCGGTGACCCCTCACCTTCCTCAGTGCCGCTTGATCCGTCTGTATCAGATAAAATAATCTAAATTTTGTTGAATATCGAGACCTTTGTTTCTCATTTATAACAGCGGGAACTGCTCAGAGCCGCGGCCCGGGCTGGGAGTGCCCAAAGCCGGCCCGGAGGGAGCTCGGAGCAGCCCCCGCTGGAGCCGGGACGATCCCTAAACTCCTTCCCGCTCCGTGCTCGCAGCCCTGCCCCGGTCGCAGCCCGACCCCTTCTCCACAACCTCCCCTGAGCCCTCACAGCCCCTCAGCGCCCCCCCAGCCACGCTTTCCCCCTTCCCCAAACAAACCCTCCCCGCCGCCATCGCTCTCCCCTTACCCAGGGTCGCCATGGCGACGCCGTAGCACTTCCTGGTTTACCCGGAAGTCTCTCTGTTGCTATTGAGGCGGTGACGTATTTCCGCTTCCAACCCGGAAGTGCTGCCCCCCTCACGCCTCAGCGTGGCCGCCATGGTGAGAGCGAGATCGCCGCGGGCGCGGGGGTCGCGGTTTGTGGTCGCCAGCGATGATTTAGCGGCTCCACGTCCCCGGTCCTGTGGCTTGGCCGCCCCTCCGCGTCCCAGGAGTCCCGGACCGGGGGCCACGCTCGCTCCCCGGCCTCAGCCGCGTTTTCCTCCCGTCGCTCATTTATTATTTAATCGTTAATTGCAGAAGCCGATCCTGCTGCAGGGCCATGAGCGCTCCATCACGCAGATCAAATACAACCGCGAGGGAGACCTGCTCTTCACCGTGGCCAAAGATCCCGTGAGTGCTCCCCACCCCAGGTAATTAACGCGCCGTAATTAACGCGCTGATCGTTGATTAATTTTTTTATCTTTTTTTTTTTTAATCTCCTCGCAGATTGTTAACGTTTGGTATTCGGTGAATGGGGAGAGGTTGGGAACCTACAATGGGCACACGGGAGCTGTGTGGTGTGTGGATGCCGACTGTATCCTTTGATCCCAAAAACCGGTTTAATCCCATATTTTAGTGGCTGATTCATTCCCGCTGGTTCCTCCCGCCTGCTCCTCATTTTCCTCTCAAAGAGGAACATTTCACTCTGCTGCTGCCTCTTCTTTTCCTTATCTTTTGGGTGATTTTCCTGCCTTGCTGCGATTTGGGATAAAATCCCAATGGATTTTTGGATTTGTTGTGCTTTGTGCTGCTTTCTTGGATGTTTGGGAAGATTTTCCACGGGCAGCAGAGACAAAAGTGTGGAAAAATTACTTAAATGCAAGAAAATGAGCCTTTTGTTTCAAATTTCATGAGAACTTTGTGGGATTTTGCAGTGGGAACTTGTTGCCTTTCCTGGGGTGGATTTTGCAGAAAAATCCCTTTTTAAAACTGAGCATTTTCTTTCAAATTTCACGGGAAAATTGTGGGATTTTGCAGTGGGCTCTGCATTGCCTTTCCTGGGGTGGATTTTTCCCCAAAAAATCCCATTTTAATCCTGTGCAGAAACACTCCCTGGGTGCCCAGCCTGTGGAATTTGGGGCTGAAATTCCCTTAACTGGTGGCCCAGGGGACACCAGGCACGTCCTGACGGGCTCTGCAGACAACAGCTGTCGTCTCTGGGACTGTGAGACAGGTGAGGCCATTCCCAAATTCCCCCTGGGGACACCTCCTGAGCCTGGGGACATCCCCACACAGAGCCAGGCTGGGGAAGTCCAGGAGAGCTGGAGAGGGACAAGGATGGAGGGACAGGACACAGGGAATGGCTCCCACTGGTGTTTTGGGTGGATATTGGAAGGAATTCTTCCAGAGGTGTCCCTGCCCAGGGCTGGGAGAGCTTTAAGTCTCTTCCAGCCCAGCCCATTCCATGAGAAAAGCTGGAAAACCATTCCATTCTTCCAATCCAAACTCAACCCATTCCATTCTTCCAGCTCAAACTATTCCATGAGAAAAGCTGGAAATCCATTCCATTCTCCCAACCCAAACTATTCCTTGCTAAAAGCTGGAAAAACATCCCAGTCTTCCAATTCAAACTATTCCAGGCTTCCAAACTATTCCATGAGAAAAGCTGGAAAACTATTTCACTCCTCCAACCCAAATCATTCCACTCTTCCAACCCAAACCACTCCTTGGTAAAAGCTTGGAAACCATTCCACTCTTCCAACCCAACTCATTCCATTCTTCCAACCCAAACCCAACTCATTTTACTCTTCCAACCCCAAACCATTGCACTCTTCCAATCCAAACCCAAATCATTTAATTCTTCCAACCCAAACCCTACTCATTCCATTTTTCCAACCCAACCCATTCCATTCTTCCAAGCCAAACCCAACTCATTCCATTCTTCCAACCACGCTAAAATCTGGGAAAGCCTGCAGTGATTCCCGAGTGGATCAGCGGTGGCTCCCAGCCCCTCTGGCTGTCCCTGCCCTCCTTTCCCAATGATCCCAACGTTCCTGTGCTGCTCCCAGGGAAGCAGCTGGCCCTGGTGAAGACCAGCTCGGCCGTGAGGACGTGTGGCTTCGACTTTGGAGGCAACATCATCATGTTCTCCACGGACAAGCAGATGGGATACCAGTGCTTCGTCAGCTTCTTCGACCTGAGGGACCCCAGCCAGATTGGTGAGCTGCCCCTGGGATCTCAGGGGGCTGGGAATGCTGGCTCCAGTCCCCCTGGGCTGCCTCATTCCTCCATCCCACAGAGAACAACGAGCCCTACATGAAGATTCCCTGCAGCGATTCCAAGATCACCAGCGCCGTGTGGGGCCCGCTCGGGGAGTTCATCATTGCTGGCCATGAGAACGGGGAGCTCAACCAGTTCAGTGCCAAGGTCAGGGCCTGGGGGAGGCTGGAGCAGCATTCCCAGGGGGATCAGGGCTGGAATGTGGGGTTTGGGGCTGCAAACAGCAGTTTCAGCAAGGAGAATTTAAATATTCATTTTAATATTCAGGAGGCTCCCCTGAGCCAGGCTGGAATTGACACAGCACAGAGATGTGGAACTGAATCCATTCCTAAATTCCCTTCCCACCCAAAGCATTCCAGGATTCCATTCCATGTTGTTTTTAATGAGGGAATCACTTCCCAGCTCCCTGAAAATTCCTCTTCCCCTCCAGTCAGGGGAGCAGCTGTCGAATATCAAGGAGCACACCAAGCAAATCAACGACATCCAGACCTCCCGGGACATGACCATGTTCATCACAGCTTCCAAGGATAACACAGCCAAGGTGAGCTTTTCCAGCAACCTCTGGAGATCCCCTGGCAGGATCTCAGCTCAGAGGGGGTTTTGTACCTTGGGAATGTTCAATGAGGAAGGAGAGGTGCTAAGTTAAGAGCCAGGCATTGAAAAGGAATTTTTTTTTTTTGCCAGTTTGCCACCTCTGGAAAGCAAAATAATTCCCTTTCTGGGGGGATATTTTTGGGATTTGAACTTGCAGAGGGAGCATCCATCCATCCATCCATGCAGATAAGGCCCAGCAGCTGGAGCTGTGAGAGTTAATTCATGAGTTAATTCATTAATTTTCCCTCGTAGCTCTTTGACTGCACATCCCTGGAGCACCTGAAGACGTTCCGGACGGAGCGGCCGGTGAACTCTGCTGCTCTTTCCCCCATTTTTGACCACGTAAGGATGAGCTTCCTCAGCTCAATCTGATCCAGACTAATCCTGGGATTCCTGCATTGGGGGTGTTCCCAGGCCAGCCTAAAACCAGGGCTCTGGAATGAGCCTGGGGAATTTTGGAATTTTGGGGAATGAGCCTGGGGAATTTTGCTGGCACGCTGGGAACAAAGTTTTGTATTCTCTGGTCAAATGTGTCAGGGAGGTGGGAATTCCTCTGAGGGTTGGAGGGCTGCTGATGGATTTGTGGGATTAGTGGGAAGTGCTGGAGGTGTCCAGGGAACCTCTGGACCTGGCACTCACTGCTCCAAACTGGTTTCAAGGTGGGGATCAATGTTGGGCTCGATCATGGAGGTCTTTTCCAACCTCAGTGATCCCGGGATTCCCTAAATCCCAGAGGGAAGCACTGAAGGGTTGGGATTTCTCTGGTTTCTCTCTCCTGCAGGTGGTGCTGGGTGGAGGGCAGGAGGCCATGGATGTGACCACGACCTCCACCAGGATTGGCAAATTTGAGGCCAGGTTGGTCTGGATCCTCAGCCCGAGCACTCCTGACATCCCAAGGATTGCATTTCCCTTCCTTTGGGGAAGTTGGCAGTGCTGGAGAAGCCCTTGAGGTTTTTTTTTTTGTTGTTTTTATTTTTTGAGCGTTCTGTGGTTTTGTGACAATTTAAATCTTCCTCCTGCCAGGTTCTTCCACTTGGCTTTTGAGGAGGAGTTTGGCAGAGTCAAGGGGCACTTCGGGCCCATCAACAGCGTCGCCTTCCACCCTGATGGGAAGAGGTGAGAGGCTCCCTGGGGATCTTGCAGTGTCCCCAGACCACCCAATCCCACTTTTTAATTGGGATATGACCACACTCACAGGGTTTCTGTGGTGGGAATGGAACCAGCACCTGAATTCTCCCATTTTGAGCCAGCCCAGGGGTTCACTCACACTCTGCCCCACACTTTGGCCACATAATTTTTTTTTTTCCCCCCACTTTGTGATTCCTGTGTGAGTTTCAGGAGGGGGTGGTGAGGCCAGACTTCCCATTCTTTGCTCCCAGCAGCATTCCTGACTTTTCCCTTTCCTCCCTGCAGCTACAGCAGTGGGGGTGAGGATGGCTACGTCCGCATCCACTACTTCGATCCCCAGTACTTCGAGTTCGAGTTTGAAGCCTGAAAGGAGAATTTCCCTCTCCTCTCTCCTCTTCTTTTCCCTTCTCCAACACCTTGCCCAGTCCATGGGCTCCAGCACAGGACTGTTGGAAAGGCCTGAAGTTATTTTTGGCAGCGATTTTTGGGGGCTGTGGGGAGTTGGGGAAGTGGGAACTCAAGCAAAGGGCAGGAATGGTTTTTACTGGAAGAAGAGTGAAGGGAACTGGGTTGGCTGCCTGCCTGCTGGGCATATTTATAAATCAGGGGAGGGGAAAAAAAGAGGAAATAAATAGAAATCTTTTCTAAACACAAGGAAAACCACCTCTGTGGGGGTTTTTTTAGTTTGGTTTTTTTTTTTTCCTCTATCTGAACCAAAATTAACCCAAGGACTTTGTTTTCCCAGCTCGGTTGTCAGTGCTTTGCTCCACACCCATGGAGCAGTGCTGCTCCTCCTGGGACCTCTGCCCCTCCATGAACTCCATCCCAGGGAGGCTCCACAGCCTCAGGCCCAGCCCTGAAGTGTGAAAAGGCTGGAAGTGCAGCAGCCAGGAATTGTTTTCCAGCTGCCACGCACGCTCCTGGCCCTGCTGCTTTGTTTATCTGCTGGGCTGACCCCGAGCCAGCTTTCCTCATGGAACAGTTATTTCCTGCCCTAGGAGCTTGTGCTGCAGATCTTCACCCTCCCACCCTCCTGTCTCTCCAGAGAGGTGTTTTTTGGTTTTTTTTTGGTTTTTTTTATCTCTTTCCTTCCTCAAAATTGGGCTCAAGGGCACAATTCCCAGGCTGGCTCCTGGCTCGCAGCTGCTGGCACGACACTGAGGCTGCTTTTGTGAGTTTGTGGGGGGATGTTGGTTTAGTGTGTCCTGTTGTGGTTTTTCCTGTGATCTGCTGTTTTTTTTCGTGTGATCTGCTGTCCTTTAGCTCCAGAGCCATCCACAGGCACTGCTGAGAGCCCAGAGGGAAGGAGCAGCTTCCCTATGGAAGAGCAGGACACAGGCAAAGGCTGGGAGAGAGATTTACTGAAACAAACTCAGGCTGGGAAAGGGGATCTGTGCCCTCTCCCAGAGCTGTCCATGGGGTCTGTGTCCTGCACAGCCCTTCCCATGGGAAAATCCAGTGTCACCTTGTCCCAGATCCACGGGGACCCAACTGTCCCCTCTTCATTTTCCACTCTCTGTCCCAGCAGTGGGCTCAGGGAGGGACTGGCTCAGCCTTTTCCCTGTGCTCTCCTTGATGGAGGACTTGTTTCCCTCCACCAACCTCTGGATCTCTGCCCAGGCCTCATCCAGGTGCTGGGAAGGACGGATCCAACGAAGGAATAAACCTGGGAGAGAAGGGGGCTGGGTTTTATTTCAGCCCTGTCAGAGAGGCAAAGGCAGAGCAGCTTCCCCTGAGCCAGCCCAGCTGGGAGCTGAGGGCAGATTTTGGGAGGATCCTGCTCACCCTGCCAGAGCTGGATGCTCTGGGGCTCCACGGAGGGCCAGATCACCAAGGGGTTGTGTGAGTAGAGAGGGTTCAGGAATTTGTGCTTCTCCTCAGGCTGGTTCAGCCAGGCCCAGAGCGAGTGTGTGCTCTCCTTCACCTTACACAGGCTCCTGGGGGGGGACAGGAGGCACAAATTTCAGCCCCCAACAGGGTTTGGTGTCACCTAAACTACAGCCAGGAGGGGTTTGCAGGGTGGTGGCCGTGGCTGTGCCCCCACACCCACCTCTCCTTCTCGTTGTTGCACAGGAAGGTGCCATAGGAGGAGGCGTAGGCGTTGTCAAAGAGGGTGAGGAGCAGCTGCTCCCCAAATTCCAGGGAGAAGGGGAACTGGCGGCTCAGCTGCCACACGCAGTCGAGGAAGAGGAGGAAAAGCGGCGCCTCCTGCTTCCCTCGGGCGTGCGAGGAGGCGGAGCGGGCGCAGCGCAGGTGGAAGGGGTGCCCAGCCTGCGGGGACACGGCGTGAGGGCACCCAGCCAGGCTGGCATCCCCACCCTCCTCAGCACTGCGCCTCTCACCTCGATCCATTCCCGCTGCAGCAGCGCCTGGAATCCCTCCAGGGTGCGGCAGGACGGGTCCAGGATGAGCTGGGCCAGCGCTGTCACCAGCAGCGTGGTGTCTGTCCCCTCCGCCCCGTGCACCAGCACGTTGGAATCCTCCCTGCCGTGGCGACCACAGGGGTGACACCTGGATTTTGGGCCACACTGGTGGCGTCTTGGGCAATGGGAAAAGTGAAGGTGCAGCTCTCCTTACCTGTCCAGGCACTGAGCAGCCAGGCAGGCCGTGCTCAGGGCAGCCTTGACGTGGCTGAGCCAGCGGCTGCTGTCCAGCCGGGCCAGCCAGCGGTCCATGCTCAGCGAGGGCTCCGTGCACGTCTCCACCAGCCTGATGAAGCTCTCCTGCAGCGGGCGGCCTCTGGGCAAGGGCACGGAGGTGTGGGGGGCTCGGTGGCACTGTCCCTGTCCCCACAGTGGTGGCACACAGGCGACATCACCCAGCCCTCACCTTTCCAGGGCTCGGTGCAGCCTCCTCCAGTGCGGGTAGCAGGATTTGGGCTCGGTGCCGCCGCCGCTCATCCGTGCCTGCTTGGCCGCCTGGGCCGAGCGAGTGTCGATGATGAAACCTCGCTCACCCTCGTCCAGGATTGTCCCCAAGAGCTTCTCGTCCTCTCGGCACCGCCGGCGGTTGGGACCTGTCAGGGGCTGGCTGCTGCGGAGCAGGGCCTGGGAATGGAGAAGAGAAAGCTCCAGGGGGACCTTAGAGAGTTTCACAGGGCCTAAAGGGGCTCCAGGAGAGCTGGAGAGGGACTGGGGACAAGGGATGGAGGGACAGAACACAGGGAATGGCTTCAAACTGGAGAAGTGGAGATTTGGGTGGGATGTTGGGGAGGAATTGTTCCCTGCGAGAGTGGGGAGGGGCTGGGATGGAATTCCCGGAGAATTTGTGGCTGCTGCATCCCTGGAAGTGTCCCAGGCCGGGTTGGAGCAGCCTGGGACAGTGGGATGTATCCCTGCCATGGCAGGGGTGGCACTGGATGATCTCCAAGATCCTTTCCAACCTAATTCTGGAATTCTCTGAAGACAGAATCCCTTTTCCTACAGCACATGGGCAGAGGCACGGGGGGCTCCCACCCCCCTGCCCCTTGAGGGGGGGGAGGACTCACGGTGCCGTTTTTGGGGTGGAAGTAGCTGAGCACGGGGAAGCGCCCGCCCTGCCGGAACCGAGCCGCCTTGGTCACCGTGTCATCGCCCACGGCCGCCGGCACGATCACGGCGGGAGGGTACGAGGGGCAGGCGCTGAAATCCCGGTTCACGGTGCTCAGCCGCCACTGGCTCGTCTGGGGGAGAGGCGACATCAGCGACGAGCCCGGCCCGGGGGAGGGGAAGGCTCGGGTCCCTCGGGCCGGGCTCACCTGAGAGGAGAGCTGCTGGAAAAAGCGCTCGAGGGGGAAGCGGTGCCAGCCCTGCTGCAGCCGCAGGCTCGGCGGGCGGTAGAAGAACGGGTACATCATCATCACCGAGTCCACGGAGGAGAGAGCCTGCGGCGGGGACAGGGACAGAGCCGCTCAGGGACACCGGGCACGGAGCAGAGCGCTGGCGCTGTCCCCGTGTGCCATCCCCGTGTCAGGGACACCGGGCACGGAGCGGAGCGCTGGCCCCGTGTCGCAGCCGGAGCTGGGTGTTTACCCAGTTAATGCCAGAGCCAGAGCAAACACAGCAGCGTTTTTTCCCCCGGCCAAGCCTTTGCTCGCCGGCCGAGCTCACCTCGATGGAGCTGGCGATGTTCAGACACTCCTCCATGCCCGGGATCTCCAGCTGCAGCACCTTCAGGTCCTTGCAGCGCAGAGTGATGGTGCCGGAGGAGCCGGAGATCCTGCGGGAGGTCGGAGTGGGGGTCAGGGCTGCCTGGAGGGGACACTTGGGGACACACAGACAGCACCCAGCTGCCCTCTCCCCCCTCGGCTGTGCCGGACTTGAGGCTCTCATCTGCCACCGCAGCCAGGATGGGGCACGGTGGGTGGGTGGCAGAGGCAAGAAAGCCAAAAAAGCCACACCTGGTGTCCCGCAGGGAGCCGCCAGTCCCAGCCTGGTACCAGCCTAAATTCTGCACTCTGAGGACGAGAGGAGGTCAATGCCCGCCGTGCCGCGGAGAGCCGGGAGGAAGAGGAAGGCCACGGCTGGGCGGGGCAGCGCGGTGCCCGTGGGGTGCCCACCGGGGGAACGGGGGGGGGGGATCCCCCAGCTCAGACAGGGTGACAGGAAGGTGGCAGGAAAGGACAGCCCTGGGGACAACCCCACCTTTTCTCCACGGCGTCCACGTTGCGGATGAGCAGCCAGAGCTCCAGGTCGCCGCGGGGGCAGGAGGAGAGCAGCAGGTGGTGGCTGGTGATGCACAGGGTGCCCCGCACCGCGGGCAGCCCCTGTCGCGACAGCAGCACGTTCTCCACTGTCGCCGTCTTGATCAGCTCCGAGAACTCCATGGGCGCTGCCTCTGCCCGGCGCGGGGAGGGAGCAGAGGGAGAAAGGGGAAATCCTGCAGCTCTCGGCCCGCCTGGAAACCCCTTCCCTTCCCTTCCCTTCCCTGCGCGTCACGCGGGCTGTCCCCTGTCCGTGCTGGCACTGTCACCTCCAGAGCGCGGCAGGGCGACACTCCCAGCACCAGGCAATGGGGAAACTGAGGCACAGGGGCTGAGCTGGCTCCAGTCTCCCCCGTACCGGCTGTGCTGGACGGGATTTTTTTGGGAGGGAATGGGATTGCAGCGAGCAGCGAGCGGTTCTTCCCTGCCCTGCTGGAGCTGCACCCCGTTACCGGCCCCGTTACCGGCTCGGCTGCCGGGGTCCGCAAAGCCACCGCCGGGGCTGGGGACCGGCCAGGAGGAGGAGGAGGAGGAGGAAGGTGGATGGGTGGCGGTGATCCTGCCCCGGTCACCGCTCTGCTTACCTGCTCGGGCGGGGGGCAGGTGGGGACCTCGGGGGACACTCGGGGTGTAAGCAGGGGACCTCAGAGTGCCATAAGGAGAGGACTTGTGGGGTGCAAGCGGGAATTTTTGGATGCAAGCAGAGAACCTTGGAGCACAAGGAAGAGTCTCAGGGTGCAAGCAGGGGATTGGGGGGGAGCACCAGGAGTCTTGGGGTGCAAGGAGGGGACCCCGAGGTGCCAGCGGGGCATTAGCGGGGAGCTCGGGGTGCTCGGGCGGGGATTTGGGGGTGCAGGAGTTCGGGGAGCTCGGGGTGGAAGCGGGGGCGGGGGTGGCGATGTCCCCGCACAGCCCGGCCCGGCCCGGCCGGCGGATGTCGGGTTTAAGGTGGCCCGGTCCGGAGGGACGCGGCGACACCGGGGCTGGGGCTAGGGGGGATTGGGGGGTCACTGCGTGCGTTGCGACAGCGAGGGGACACTGGGGACCCGTGTGAAGGGACACGCGAGGGGACAACGGAACTCGAGAGCAGCGCGGGGGGAGCAGGCGGGGAATTTGGGGGATACTCTGGGAGCGGGGCTGGAGGGGACCCACGGGGCAGGTGACAGCCGGGGGACACAGGTGAGACCCCTGAGCCACCTCCGCTGTCCCTGGAGCCCCCCGGGCAGGGAGGAGGTGGCACAGGACGGATCCGGAGGCGGTTCCACCTTAAGGTCCCGTCCGGGTGCGGGACCCCGGCTGCCCCCCGTGGGCACCCCCCACCCCCCTCGTTTCTTTTTCCTTCCTTGGGCTTTTTTTGGGCCCCCCCAAAGGGCGGGGGAGCGGCTGAGCCGGGGGATAAATCATTCCCGCTCCTCCGTGCCCGGTGAAGGCTCCGTCCGGGAACGCGAAGTCTCCTCCCAAGCGGAGACAATGATGTTAAAAAAGAAAAGAAACGGAAAAAAACAAAACAAACAAAAAAAACCACCCCAAACACAACAAGCCAAAAAAAAAACCAAAAAAAAAACCCTCCTCCTTTGCACTACTCTGGATAAGGAAATCCCTGCCCATCGGATTTGTCCTCAAGGGGTGGATAAATAGCCGGGAACCCGGCGCAGCTGGGGCACGGAGTGGGTGGGTGGTCGTGATCAGGGTGGGGGGGCTTCATTTCCCCGCGGAGAGGGAGGTGCTGAGAGGGCAGCGATCAGCGGGGATTTTGGGGGGGGGGACTTTGCTTGTCCCACCATGGCCTTGAGCCAGCTGAAATTCAAGGAGCTGGGCGAGGAGGAGCCCACCTGGGAGCAGGAGAACCTGGACAGCGTGAAGGCGCTGACGGCCAAGCTGAAGCTGCAGACGCGCAGACCCTCGTACCTGGAGTGGGAAGCTCGGGTCAGGGGGCAGCGCTGGGGGGCTCGGACCCCCGGGGGCACCTGGGGGGCACCTCAAAGCTCCGGGCACCCCGAGGAGCAGCAGGGTCGTGGCGTTTGTGGCTTTGCCACCATGGAGGCGGCTCTGGAGTGGCTCAGGACGGAGCTGGTGAGTAGGACGGGGACAAGGATGGGGACACCGTGACATGGCAGGGGCAGGATCTGAGCTCCTCTGCTCGCTTTGCTGCTTGTACACGCATTTTCCCCAAGATTTTTCCGTGGCTCTGCCCCTGACCCCGCACCGGGGGTCGTGGCCTTGAGGGGTTCAGCGCTTGTCACCCCCTCCTGCTGCACCGGGGGTGACACAGACAGCACAACCCGCGCTGTCCCCGAGCTGTGACCGTGCCCACGCTGGCACCACGGGCTGATCGCGGGGTTTGTGCCTTGGCCGAGCCCAATCCCCGCTGCATCCCGGTTCCCTTCTCCCCCCCAGCGGGACATGCAGGCTCTGGACCAGCGGCTGGCGCAGCAGCTGATGCGGCTGCGGGCGCGGCTGCACCGGCTGAAGGTGGAGCAGGCCTGCCACCAGCACAAGGAGATGCTGGACGACGCCACCTTCGGCCTCGAGGGCTGCGAGGAAGACTCGGATCTGCTCTGCACCATCCCCCCCAAGGCCGCTTTCCTGCTCTCCACGCCGCTCAAGCACATCGGCGTCACCCGCATGAACATCAACTCCCGGCGCTTCTCCCTCTGCTGAGCCACTCCCGCGGGCAGCCCGGGGGGGTTTGGGGGCTCCAAGATCCCCTCCCCAAATTCCTCAGGACTCGGGGCGGGCGGTGCTGCCCCTCCAGGGTGATGCCAAGCCTTAGTGGCACGGGAATGGCACGAAAATGGCACGGGAATGTCACCGGAATGACACGGGAATGATATGAGGATGGCACGGGAATGACACGGGAATGTCACTGTCCCCACGGGGCACGGGGAGTTTTGGGGCCTGGCCCCGAGGATGATGAGGTCAAGCTCGATGGGAAATGTGGGGAGCAGCCCCTTGAGGCAGAATAAAAGGAGCTGAGGGCGGCAGCTGCTGGTTTTTCCTTCCAGATGTGTCCCTCGGCCTTTTTTGGGCGGGTGACAGCTCCAAGTGCCACTTGGGGGATGCGACTTCCACAGAACCCCGAGTGCAAACAGCGCCAGGAAAGCTGTGGGGTGACCCAGGGATCATTTTTGGGGGGCTGTTTCTCCTTCCCAGGACACGAGGAAAACCCGAATGTGCCCCCCAAGCTGCCACAACCCCCACCCCGACACCTCGGGGCTTCCTGCCCGTGCCTCGCCGAGTTCCCTGCGGCTTCACGTTCGATCAAAGAAGCCAACACAATGCTGCTGTGGTTGCCGTGCTCTGAGCTGCCTCCAAAACAGAGCTGCCAGCCCGGCAGGGGCATCGCGTGTCCCCTCAGCTCCAGCCCTTGTCCCCGCGGCTCCCAAAATCCGCCGTGACACGGAGGTGACACGGAGGTGACACGGAGGTGACAGCGCGGGCTGCGAGCTGCGGGATGTGTCCAAAGCGCACAGGGGACATCGGGGTGGCAAGGAGGGGACACCGAGAGGGGTTTGGGGGTGAGGGAGGGGCAGCAGGGACAGAGGGTCCCGCAGGGCACGGGGAGGGGACAGCACAGGGGACAGCACAGGGACCGAGGGGTGCTGGCAGCAGGGACAGAGGGTCCCGCAGGGCACTGCCAGCCTAGCCCAGAGCGCGGGGAGGGGACAGAAAGGGACAGCACAGGGACCGAGGGGTGCAAGGAGGGGACACCGAGGGGGATTTGGGGATGCGGGAGGGGCAGCAGGGACCGAGGGCCCTGCAGGGCACGGGGAGGGGACAGCACAGGGGACCGAGGGGTGGTGGCAGCAGGTGCCAACCCCCTGCTCACCACCGGCCTGGGGCTCTCAGCGTCCCCTCGCCCACCCTCGCCCAGGGGCGACCCGCGGGGCCGGGGATGGCAGGAAGCCATCGGGGTTTGTCACTCGCTCTTGCGGTCGGGAGCGAGCTGAGAACGGGCTCCTCTTGAGTTTGCTCATGAGGCAGGAAACAGGGGCAAGGCGGGGAGAGCAGGAGCGGGCGGCGGCAGCGCAGCCGGGCTCGGGGGGCTCCTCTGCGCACCCCACAGGGTCCCACCCGATCTTGGGGGGCTCCTCTGGGCACCCCAGAGTCCCACCAGAGCTCGGGGGGCACCTCTGCTCACCCCGCAGGATCCCACTCGATCTTGGGGGGTCTCTCCGCACCCCTCAGGATCTCAGCAGAGCTCGGGGGGGGCTCCTCTGTGAACCCCTCAAGATCCCAGCAGAGCTCGGGGGGCTCCTCTGCGCACCCCAAAAGCTCCCGGGGGGATGGGGAGGACGTGACGGGCACGGCCCCAGCGGGACATGGGACTCTGAGAGCGGCCGGTCCTCACCTCGCTGCCACCAGGTGAGAGCCGGGGGAAGGGGCTGCGGGTCCAGGTGGGATTTGGGGGAGCAGCTGAGGGGGGCTGAGGGGTGTCCCGAGGACAGGGATGGAAATGAGGGTCCGGGTTTGTTCTCGCAGGGGTGAGAGCGCTGGAGGCCGGGTGGGGATGGGGGGGAGCCAGGCTGGGCTCCCCAAATCCCTCTGGGGGTCTCTCAGGTGGGGGCGAAGGCGCTGTCCCAATGTCCCCTGCCAGCCTGGGGGTCCTGCCGGGGGTGGCAGCGCCGGGGACCCCGCAGGGCTCTCCCCAAACCCCCATTTCCAGGGCAAAGCTGGACTTTTGTCCCCAGGGCCAGACATCATCTCGGTGCCGGTCCCTCAGGGCTGGTGCCCAATTTGGGGGGTTCAGGAGCTCAGAAATTCCCGTTTTTTGGCGCTGGCTCAGTGCAAACACCTCCCTGCTGCAGTGGCAGCCTTGGGGACACTGTCCCCGGTGTCACTGCCAGGCTGTGCCAGCGCTGGGTGTCGGTCCAGAGGGCTCACAGCTGGCTCACAGCTGGCTCACAGCTGGCTCACGGACACAGAGGTGAACCTGGGAGAGCAGCAGGGATGGGGTCAGCCCAGATTTCAGCGCTCCTCACACCCGCCCACCCTGGTGACAAACCAACAGGACCCGGCCAGGGCCACGTGGGCAGAAGGGACAGCACAGGACAGGGAGCCAGGAGCTCCAAATCCAGAGAAAATAACCCCCCCAAAAAATCAGGGAGAGGGGGACACACCTGGCAAGGACACCTGGACACGCACAGGGAGCACCCTCATACCCCCCCGTCCCTGCCAGGCCCCTTCACACAAAGAAATTCGGTTGCACAGATGCAGCCACCAAAAAAAAAAAAAAAAAAAAAAAAAAAAATTCGACTTCAAACACCCTTTTTTTTTTTTTTTTTTTTCCTCCTGGCCCTGGCAGAGCGCAGGTGAAACGGCTGCTGCTGCTCGGTGGAAATTACGCTGTGGCTTGGGGCTGTAAAAAAAAAAAAAAAAAAAAAAAAAAAGGCACAATAGCTGCACCTCCCTCCTCACTCAACCCCGGGAGGAAAAAACAGCTCCGGGCACTGCTCTGCTCTGTTTGAAAAGCTCTGGGGAGCTCCTCTATAGGGTCAGGGGGATGGATTTGGGATTTCTCAGCTGTCCCTTTGCTCTGGCCAAGAAATGTGGGCACTTTGCTGTTGTTCTTCTTCATAAATTCTGGGTTTGAGCTGAGTCCTGCTCAGAAAGGTCCTGAAAATGTTGACGAATTTTGGATTTTTTACTCTTCCGCCTACCAGCTGAAGTGTAGGAAGTCTTGATGGTGTTGGGAGTTATGAGGAAAGAGTCAGCAAAAGAAAATCTGTGTTTGAACATCCTGCCTACACTGCGGCCAAACCCCTTTCTGGGTGCCAAAAAGTGTCCCCAAATGGGTGTCACCAGGAAATGAAGGCACCGGGATGGGTTTTGAGTCCCCGAAGCAGCAGTGCAGGGTATGGGGACCTCGCTCTGAGTGTTCTCCTGGCCAGAATCACCCATCCCTGCTCCTCTGGCCACCCTGGCGACAATCCTTGTGTCCCTGCCACCTCCGGGCCTGAGGGAGGTGGCTCCTGGTATGGAAAATCAAACCTGGAAGAGCAGGTTGGGGGGCTTGGAGTGGCATTGGGGGCTGGCAACACCCTGGGAACCCCAAACCCCCTTTAAGGATCCCAAACACTCTCTGGGGACCCTAAACCCTCCTTTGGGCCCCCAAACCCTTGTCAGGGATCCTAAAACCTCTTAGGGACTCCAAACACTCATCAGGGACCCCAAACCCCCTTTAGGGACCCCGAACCGTCCTCAGGGACCCCAAACCCTTCTCAGGGACCCCCTGCAAGGCTCAAACCAAGCCCCCACCGCTGTGTCCCCCTTGGCACTCTGAGAAAAGGTGAATTTTTAAATTTTTTGAGCGTGCTGGTGAAAACCCCAGCCTCTCAGGCAGGAGAAAAAAAAAAAAAAAAAAAACTATGCCAGCATCGTCCAGCCCTGGCAGTGCACGGGGACCTCGCAGCTGCACGGCCCGGCTGTCACCTCCCAGCAGGGTTTGGCGGCGGGGGTGACACACCTGGGTGGTGACAAAACCCCCCTGACACTGCAGGGCCCCTAGAGAGGGGTTGGAGATGGATCCCGGCCCCGTGGGTGGGGGGGATTCTGCCCAAGAGCTTTTTCCGGAGCCCACGCTCGGCTCCCGGGGTTTTGCCAAGCTCAGCACTCTCAGGAAAGTCAGAGGTGCCCGGGTGAGCCCACGCAGAGCTGGTGGCATCGGTGGCACCGCAGTGACAGGGACAGCGGTGCCACCCTGGCTGAGCCTTGAGGGTGTTCCAGGGGCGGGGGTTTAGGATGGGAGTTTGTAGGAAAAGGAATTCGGAAGTGCTCGCATCCAGCTGTGAGCCCAGGTATTGGTTTTGGGATCGGGGAGCTCGTTTTGCTCAGCCAAAGCTCGTTAAAGCTGAGCTGCAGGAGTGAATTAATTGCTAATGAGATATTAATAATGAGGTTGTTATCTGCGGGGAGAGCACAGGGATCAGCCCCAGCGCTGCACGGTGGGGAGGAGCTGGCACAGGAGGCACTGCCAGGCTGGGGACTAATTGCTTTCGGTGGTTTTAATTAACGAAGGAAAGATAAATGAGGCTGGTGACAGAGAGTCAGGGAACGTCCCGAGATCAGCTGAGGAGCTGGGATGGGCAAGGTGGTGTGGGAAGGTGGATGGGTGGAGGGATAATGGATGGAAGGATGCAGGGATGGGGATGCACTGGAGCAGGAGGAGAGGCAGGGATGAGGGTGCCAAGGCTCCCTGTGTCACCTCTGTCCCCCACAGCCACCATGGGCTGCTGCTGCAGCTCGGACTATGACGAGGACTGGATCGAGAACATCGACATTTGCGAGCACTGCAATTACCCCATCGAGCCCGACAGCAAGCGCCAGGTGAGGGGGGGCTCACACACCCCAATCCCGGTAGCCAAACACCCCCAGAGGTGGCCAAACCCCACAAGCTGAGGGCTCACGGGGTTCCTGTCCCCTGGCAGAGGCTGATCCGCAATGGCTCCGAGGTTCAAGACCCTCTGGTGTCCTACGAGTCCTCGTCACCTCCGCGCTCCCCCATGCAAGGTGAGGCACGGCTGCGGCTTGGGGGGGGGCTGTGACACCCCCAAAGTGGTCACTGCCACCCCCAAAGTGGTCACTGCCCCTCCTCTTGTCCCTCCAGAGAAGCTGGTGGTGGTCCTGTACAACTACGAGCCCACGCACGACGGGGACCTGGGGCTGCGCAAGGGGGAGAAGCTCCGAGTGCTGGAAGAGTGAGAGAATCCCGGCCGTGTCCC